GAAAAGTTCAGGGACTATCTTGCTGTGTCTCCCTTTACTGTGTTCACAGATAATAATCCGCTGGCTCACCTGAATACGGCTACGCTGGGGGCAGTGGAGCAACGATGGATGGCCCAATTGGCTGGATTTCAGTTTGATGTGCGCTATAGACCAGGACGGACAAATGGAAACGCTGATGCCCTCTCGAGATGGCCTGGGAAAGAGACAGATGGCCAGTCTATAGAGGATGAAGCAGTGCCATGTGGTGAGCCGGGATATGTACCATCTGAAGTGGTTCATGCTTGTGTCCATGCCTTTGTTCCAGTAGTTAAGGACCAGGAGAAGGAGCCAAGCAAAGAACGAGAGCCACAGTTGACCCAGGAGGAGTGTGTCGGACCTAGTTTGTTGGATGACTGGGTGAGGGCACAGCGGGCGGATCCAGTGCAGTCACGATTGTGGATGTATATGGACAGAGGAAGAGGCCCTGGACCAAGAGAACGAGCAGCAGAGGATCGACCTACTCAAGTGGTGCTGCGACAGTGGGGTCGTCTGGGCACCGATCGAGGATTGTTGTGCCGTGAGGTATGTGATCCAAAGACATTTGACAAACTGAAACAAGTTTTGGTGCCTCAAAGTTTGCAGAACCAAGTCCTAGAATGGGTGCACGATCGTGCCGGACACCTTGGAGTGGAAAAAACTCTCGGCTTGGCCCGTCGCCGTTTCTTTTGGCCGGGAATGACACAAGGAGTGGAGAAGTGGTGTCTTAAATGTGTTCGATGTAATCTGCATAAGACCCCAGCTAATAAAGTGAGTGCCCCGCTTGTATCCATAGATTCAGATTATCCATTACAGATTGTGTCTGTGGACTTCCTGTCACTGGAGCCTGCGCGTAGTGGGAGGTGTAACATTTTAGTTATGATGGACCATTTTACCCGTTATGCTGTGGCAGTGCCAACCATGGATCAAACAGCGGTGACAACTGCAAGGGCGTTATGGGAACATTTCATTCAGCAGTTTGGGGGATTTGATCAGTTGCACTCTGATCAGGGTCCCAATTTTGAGTCTAGAGTCATAAAGGAACTGTGTGGATTATATGACATCAGAAAGTCTCATACAACACCCTATCACCCTGCAGGGAATGGACAATGTGAGCGCTTTAATCGGACATTGTTGAGCATGCTGGGTACATTAAGGGATGACCAGAAGGAAAATTGGGACCAGCATGTAGCAGAGATGGTACAAGCCTACAATAATACCCCCCATCCATCTACAGGGTATGCCCCTTACTTTTTGATGTTTGGACGATATGCTAAGCTGCCCATGGACATTATGTTGGGTCGGGGAGATGGGTTTTCAGGAACAGTTGGCAGCTGGGTGCATCATCACCATAAAAGACTGGTAACTGCCTATAGTCAAGCGAGAAAACAGGTCCAGAAGGCTCAACTTCATCAAAAGAAGGGGTTTGATCGTAGGGTAAGAGGGGAACCTTTGCTAATAGGACAGAGGGTAATGGTTCTTAATAAGAGGGCCAGAGGAAAAGGTAAATTGGAGGATAGGTGGGAGAGGAATACATATGTGGTTATTTCTCAACCTAATCTTGACATACCAGTTTATGTTGTAAAGAAGGAAGGGGGTAATTGTGATGAGAGGGTGTTGCACCGCAATATGTTAAGTCCCTGCAAATTTGAGGTAACCTCACATTCAGAGAATGAAGTAGGGGAGCAAGCTCCTGCTCTTCAGGTTGATCCACTGAACAGTAATTGGTGTATGTATCCTTGGGTCGGGGGCTGTCTAACAGATTTGCCTGCACCTGTAAGGGAAAATGAAAGGACTGTTATGGACAACGCTGAAACAACTGCTCAGACTATACAGAGAGAAGGACTCTCTAGCCCACCTGATGTATCAGTGGAGGGTTTGAGGCGATCTGCACGGGCCACCAAGGGCCTGTTGCCTCAGCGTTACAGAATTTAAGTGGAAATGTGTGGACACATTTTGAGTAGAGGGGGTGGATGTAAGCGGTGCTTCCCAAACCAGGATGATGCGTACTGGCGTCATTTGCGTCTATGACGTTTCCAGGAGATGAACAGCTGAGTTCAATTTGTAATGAGTCCAAGCCTTTAAAAGCGATTTGTAGTTTCTGGGTCAGGAGGGGTTTTTCTTGGTTTTTGATTGCAGGTGCTGCTGAGCCGCTGGCCAAGGCTATCGTGCCGGGACGTGGGCATGATGTTGTGCGCGAGCGAATGACTGGGAGGGATAGTTGGTAGTGCTGGGGTTTCCCCGGACTAAAGTTTCGGCGGCCGCTGTTGACTTTCCAATCGCTGTATCCCACGTCCGGTAGCGGGTAAGCGGGCCAGCAGCACAGTTATACTGTTGCGGGGTCATTGTGTGTGCATTGCATTTTGTTCGCCGGGAGTTTGAGTGAGTTTGATTGCTCCCGGCGCTTGTACTCTGTCTGTCTGTCTGTGTGTGTGTGCGTGCGTGCGTGCGTGCGTGCGTGTGTGTGTGCGTGCGTGTGACGGGGGATGAGCGCAGGCTAGCATTACGCTCCGTAAAGGAAATGTTAAATGACGACGGCTTGATATTTAGCTGGAGTGGCATTGATGGTAGCTTATGATTTGATTGCTGTGTGGAGTCTATTTATGGGTGTTATTTATACATTTATATTTATGAGATTTACTGTGTGGTGTATTACAACTCTGGGTTGATGTGAAATGATGATGTGTTGCACAATTACGGTTGATACCCCTTGTTAAATGCCTTGTGGTGGTCATTTTAATTGCCTTACCTAATAATTTTTATGCAGTCCACTAACAATCTTTACATCATGAACTTTATGTCCTTTTGATTCCCTACCTGCTGCTCCCCTTGTGTGGAAATTTAATCTTTAGGATTATTGTATAAAATAAAAGTGAAATTAGTATTTAAATGAATTGAGTGTTTGACGTTTACTTGATTATTGTGGCCCAAAATAAATACTGTATTTTGTCCAGCAAAGAACTTGTGTTGTGTGTGAATACTTTATTCCCTTTTTGGGAGGGTTACATGTGTGTGTAATGTACAGACTAGGGATGGGAAGATTAACCGATATGTATCGATACGCGGTTATGCGCGTTCACGATGCGAGTGCATCGGTTGAGCAGCAGAGGATGAATGAAATTTTGGAAGCAAATCGAGATGCATCGGTTTTTGCGAGATGCATCGATTTTTCCGAGATACAGCTTATATTTTTAATATAGAATGTATTTTTTATTTATTAACAAGTGTTGTCAACCTGTTTTTGGCGCATAATTTAATCGACCTACATAAAGTAAGCCTTAGCAACGGATTTGCGGATGTGCACACACTACAACTCAGTGTATCAGGTGTGCGAATGAAGCTAGTGGAGCGCCCTCAGAAAGCGCGAGAAGCAAAACAAACATTTTATTCCCCACTGAGTTTTAAATCTAAAGTATGGCAACATTATGGATTTAAGGATGGACGACATGACAGGACAGATGCAATTTGCAAAATGTGCCGCGCATCTGTAAAATACGCGGGCAGTATGACTAATCTGATATCTCACTTGAAGCGGCGCCACGGTGTTGTTGTGAAAGCATCTTCCAGTGTTTCTGCATCCCCGGCTTTCGCACTGCTTCAACCAGCTCCAAAAGTGGTGAGAAAAGCATTGCAAGTTTTTTTTTCCATGCGCAACAGTTCTGCTCGCTCTACGCCAATAACGAATGCTATTGCATTGTTCATCTGCAAAGATATTCAGCCTAGTGTCACGGAGAACGAAGGTTTTAAACACCTCCTCCTGTTAATTTTTATTTAATTATAATAATAATAATATTAATAATAATAATGATAAAAATAATTGGGTGTCACAGTAGCACAGTGGGTAGTTTGACCACCTCACAGCAAGAAGATTGCTGGTTTGTTATATTTTTATTAGCCTGTTGTTTACAGTGACAGTGTTTCAAAGCAGCATAACACTGCTAGTTCACAACCTTAAGTTTTGAATAATCAGTGGCAAAATATATCTTTGTAAAACTTGTTTTCATAGTTGAAAAGTTAAATCACAATTCTTGTTGTGCAATGCTAAATTTATTTATGTTGAAAGAGTGCAAATATATATATATTTTTTAATATATAATATATATATAAATAAATAATATGTATATATATAAATAATATGTGCTATATGTTCTAAAATGGCCCTCTACTGTAAACTGACACTGTGGCTCTGAGAGAAAAGCCAGTTTGTAAAAAAAAGTCTTGGTTTTGCTTGGTTAATAAATAATCAAACTCATTCAATGGATCAGCATCCTCTTTCACATCATCTCATAAACTTGATCTAATTAGTTAGTGCTGAAATATCGCATCGTATCGTGATATGGGTGTGAATCGTATCGTGTTGCATCGCAATATGTCACAAATGTATCGCTAATATATCGGATCGTATTCTTTGTATCGAGATGCGTATCGGATCGGCATTATAGCTTAGATGCCCAACCCTAGTACAGACAGCTCACACATACACTTTTAATAGTTGTTGCATTACTTAGCTTGCCCACAAGGTGAACCAACTGGTGTTTCGCAGTCAAGAAAAAAACCTTCTAAAAATGACATGACAACGGGCCATAAGTTCCTGGGATGGACATTTTTTTAGTGTGAAGTGGCTGTGTTCATACAGTATCAACTGACCTATTGTAAAGCAATACCAGTTGAGTATTTTTTTATGGGGACTAAAACTCAGCATCTTTAGGTTTGAAAGCCATACAGAGACATTAGAATATCTGAACCTCAAAATGTTTATGCTTTTATGTACACTGAAAAAAATTATTCAAAGATGATTCCTTGGATTTATTTCTAATTTTTTCCGTTAAGTGATTGTAAACAATTTATTTGGGCTGAATTTAAACAAACAAATTAAGTTAAAAATTACTACATATAATTTGTTTAAATTCTACGCAAATAAATAGTTTGCAACAGTTTTGCAGACATCCTTTTATCAGTGTATAACATAAATAAATAAACCTAAAGAGTTTAATAAAAATTTTAATTAATAAAAACTAAAAGCTAAATAGTGCAAGAACAACTGAACGTGTATGTGCAAGCTACATATGCTACTTCAGTGTTTGTGTATGGTGTGGATTTTGTCATTTTTACACAGTATGCAAAAACAGTCATGCATATGGAAAAACAGAAGTATATTTAAGTTTCACATTTAAAATCACAAGAAATTCCTCTCTAAACTTTTTAGCAGTTACATCCAAATATATACCATTTTAAAGAAATAAGAAAGCATTCGCTGAATACAGTTAAAATACAGATAGAGTTAGAATTTGTGGGTGGTTGGTTATACGCGGTCCAAACTTATCTGATTGTGCTGCTGCTCAATTGTGAACTGTTCCACAGCACCACGGATGGCTGCTTCCACCATTGAAATTGCTGTCTGAATCAGTAAGCTCTCATTACATCGGCTGTGGTCCACGTCTGGATGTAGAGTGTTGTTTGTAAGACCGTTTATTTTTAAATGTTGCCAGGACCCATTGACTGTAAGAGCATCAAACTGTGGTGGCTCGTTCTCATTCTCTTCTTCTGAGGAGTTTGCATGCTCTATAGTAATCATTGGCCTGCATTTAAGATCGTTTTCAATTGGCTTTAAGACTTGATCATTATCTGATGATGTGACCGGCAAATCGGAGACAATATTGCAATGAATCGAACTCGATGGCAGAACCTCAGAATCCAAAAGACCACTAGTTGGAAGCTCCTGGGATTCATTTTTATTCATCCTCAGGGTTTGGTCAGAACATAATTGCTCCTCATCAGTGTGGTTAGACTCAATATTTGTGTTAATGCTGACCTCGGCACTGAATGTAAAAGTCTCTGGAACGATTTCTGCTTGCATTTCTCGGTTTTCCATTTGGTTATCTTCTCTCTTGAGCCTGGAAATGTCCATCTCAGCGGCAGGTGATTGATCCAGTTGATCATCTACTTCAGTTTGTGATGCGCTAGGGGCACTACACTCAAACTGATCAATAGGGGGTGCTTTCTTCTTTCTAGAAAAGATGCGGTAGATCTTTTTAAATGTCAAACCTTTCGGTGCTGCAATGTCCTCAGAATCCATTCTACCATCTTCCTCTTTACATCCCCTTCCTAGACCAACATCAGATGTTGCAGATCTCTTAGAAATTAACCAAACGGTGAAGAAACCCCTTTTTTTACCTTTTCCATTAGGAACTTCTTTGTTGTTTGCATCCCTTAATTCATTCTCACACGTGTTGTTTTGAGCATTGTTTATATTTTTTTTAGTTTCTTTTGGATTCCAAGACTCATTTTCCTTCCTTTTTCCACGCCTGAGAAGTGAGGAAAATGTCCTCTTAATGGATGCTTTTGAAGAACTTTTGGTCATTATTTTACTTGCCATATTTTCATCCCTGTTTTCACTCTCCTCCAATGTTACAAGAATTCTTGAGGTATCTTCTGGCTGGGTTGCTGTCCCCTCTGAGGCGTTTTGAGGGCTGTTGTGGGTAATATGTGAAGATTCATTGGTTTTTCCATCATTTACTTGATCATTATTGTCCGTTGTGCCATCACAAGATTTAGCTTCTCTTTGCCTTCTCTGAGATTTACCTTCCAATTTCTCCTTTGATTTGGACTTCCCCAGCAGAAGTCTCGGTGGACCAGTCAGTTTTCTCTTCAAACCAACCCTCTCCTGACCATCGGATAATTCATTCTCTTGTGTGGACATGGTTAATCAAACAGCACCAAAGTCAATAATAGTCCTTACTGGGAATATAGGATTGATTACACAACTGGGTGATTTTCAGCTTACATATTGACAGCATAAAGATGTGGAGATGCTGAAAACCAAAACAAAAACATTGTCTATAAGTTACAGCTTGTTTGTTTATTTTAATTTTTTATTTTACTTGAGTAAAGCATTTGTTAATTTGTCTTCATTGATATTCCTTTTCATATGTTATACAATTCAAATGAGATTTTTGGATTATATAATAAACTATTTCGAGAGAGGTTGAGCAGTGTTTACAAAACAACAAACTGGGTGTGACACCACTCAGAAGCATCCTTAAAAAGTCTTTAGAAAAATAATAAATGAATTTGGCTAAGCATTTCCTAACTGTAAAACTGAAATAAAATGGCAGTAATGGCAAATAACAACTTTATCTCTCAACATTTTCTTTAAAAGATATACAACAGCAATATTTAACCTTAAATAGATCTGTATAAAGTCTAAAGACTGTAATGATAAACATTAATTAGCTTGCGACGGTTTTTTGTTTTGTGACGTCTTTGTTATGGTGGCGAATTTAAACGGTTAAGATTGTTATTTATCCAATTTTATGTTTATTAGTATAAAACTCAGGCAAAAAAGGTAACGTTAGTATGTTTACTCAAATGTAAAAAGTCTTACATTAATTATAAGTTAAAACACCTACCTGTAAAGTGAAGAGAACGACGTAAACTCTTCTCACGGCTGTGAAGAGCGAGGAGATTCGTTTATAAATCCACTCGCAGATCTGGCGGGCGCAGAGGCTCAGCACAGCAGGTTACGCGCCTTTCTGTTTCCATGACGACCAGCTGATTGACGTTTATGTGAGCGTGCCTCTCATCCATCCAATCAACAAGGCGGAGGCTCTGCTAATGTGAAGATATTATTGATATCCATCATCGCGGCCACGTAGCCTATTTACTCACAAGTCACAACGTAACCAGTTGTACATCTTCTGGTCCCTTGAAAATACAAACAAGTGGGCAGCTTTATTTAACTAACGTTATGAATAAAGAAACACCCTTCACACTCTAATTAGTTTTGTTATTATCTTCTAAAATTGTACAACGCAATGTAAAATTGACAGAGGTCATTGTTATCACACTTTTTCAATGTCTGAAATATGGCTTATAACTCTAACATAATATAAATTACCATGGGGGCGATACGGCGGCTCAGTGGTCACCTCACAGCAAAAGAGTCGCTTGTTCGAGTCCCGGCTGGGTCAGTTGGCATTTCTGTGTGGAGTTTGCATGTTCTCCCCTTGTTCGCGTGGGTTTCCTCTGGGTGCTCTAGCTTCCCCTAGAGTCCAAAGACTTATGCTATAGGGGAATTGGGTGAGCTAAATTGTCTGTAGTGTATGTGTTTGAATGAGTAAGTGTGCATGGATGTTTCCCAATACTGGGTTCGCAGCTGGAAGGGCATCTGCTGTGTAAAACATATGCTGCATAAGTTGGCGGTTCATTCTGCTGTGGCGACCGCTGATGAATAAAGGTTACTAAGCTGAAGAAAAATGACTGAATGAATAACTTACCAAAAATTATGTGTATTTTTTACTACATATTAAAATATGCTTTTGTTTTTTGTTCTTCACACATCAGATGTTTTTATTTATTTATTTATTTAAAGCATGTACATTAACTGGCAGTGCAGTTTTATCTCCTTGGTAACCATGTAGGCTACTGTTTTAAAACATCTTTTTGGTAACTAATTTTCTAATTTTGAGAGAGTACTGTTGTTTCCCTCTGAAACCTAAGGAATGGAAATTGTTTGTCAAACTATTATGTTTTTAAGTTTACAAGTCAGTTTCAAAACTGACTTGTAAAAAAGTTGTGTAATTTGCATGTTTTGTGGGATAATTGTACCTGTGATAGTCACCTATTTGTGCCAATTACTGAAAATAGTCAATATTTATTTTGTCAGTTCAGTACTGACCCTAAAATTACAACAAACAAATCTCTGGCAGTTAAATGAACCACGATGGGCAGATGGGACACAGAAATTAAATCTCATTTGGAGGCTTGCTTGATGTTTGCAAAAGACATATGTGCAAATATGACCTATTATGCAATTTTCCCAGAATCCTTTTTTTTTATAGCCATGCCCGTAGCTAATATTTCCTTGTGGACCTATTAGCTAACCTTTATTTATCACTCAGGCATGTTTTAAACTTTGTTTAGAAGAGGGATTGCCTCTTTCACTCAGAATATATATGACCAAAGTCTTGACATCTCAAGCATGAAATGTTATTTCAGGCTCAAAGCCACCAATGCTAATGCTAAGTGACACGAGGCCCTAGAGATCCGAGGAAAATATGCCCTTGAAAGCTTTACCAGAAAGCAAAGAACTAAGTACTCACCAAAGCTAACACATAACAGTATTTAGGTCTGGCCTAGTTCACTCAGGATCACTTGAATGGGCTGCTAGTACTGATAAACCCGATGGCAATGTCCTGAACTAACCTCAGAATAGAAAAATGCTCTAAGTATCTCACTTAGCAAGCACAGCGCTAATTTGGTGGTGACAGACCTGCTTAACATTCAGTTCACAAAACAATATGTGCTAAAACATCATAATATATTCTACTTTCAGCATCTGGATAACAGACTAACAGTTCCATTTTTCAACATTTAAAACCAGAATAAAACAAGGTGGCAATCATTTATTTATATGTATACAATAATTTTTTACATGTATTACGTTTATATAAGCTCAATTATTCAAAAATATACAAAGATTTATGCAACCGTTTAGTAATTAAAACATGCAATGGACATACACTCACCGGCCACTTTATTAGGTACACCTTACTTGTATCGGGTCAGAAACACTTTTGCCTTCAGAACTGCCTTAATACTTTGTGGCATAGATTCAACATGGTACTGGAAATATTCCTCAGAGATTTTGGTCCATATTGACATGACAGCATCCTGCAGCTGCCGCAGATTTGCTGGCTGCACATCCATGATGCAATTCTCCTATTCCACCACATCCCAAAGGTGCTCTGTTGGATTGAGTTCTGGTGACTGTGGAAGCCATTGGAGTACAGTGAACGCGTTGTCATGTTCAAGAAACTAGTCTGAGATGAATCAAGCTTTTTGACATAGCGCATTTTCCTGCTGTAAGTAGCCATCAGAAGATGGGTACACTGTGGTCATAAAGGCATGGACATGGTCAGCAACAATACTCAGGTAGGCTGTGGCATTGATACAATGGTACTAATAGGCCAAAACTGTGCCAAAAAATATCCCCCTCACCATTACACCACCACAAACCTGAACCGTTGATACAAGGTAGCAAAGATCCATGCTTTCATGTTGTTGATGTAATGGAGGCCAGCCAGTAGGGGCTGTGCAGGTAAACCTCACTCCTCTGACCTCTAAAGGTGCTCTAGCGACAGACGCTAGAGGACATGGTCTTTAGCCTCCTTGTTAGAGCAACCGATTCCCATGCGGAAGGTTGCCGGTTCGAAACCAGCTCAGAGCTGGTTGGGCGGTGTAGAGCCGGTGGGGTTACATTGGTGCCGTGACCCGGATGGGAGTGAGGTTTAGGGGGGTGAGTGTAACGGAGGCCAGCCAGTAGGGGCTGTGCAGGTAAACCTCACTCCTCTGACCTCCAAAGGTGCTCTAGCAACAAACGCTAGAGGCCATGGTCTTTAGCCTCCTTGTTAGAGCAACCGACTCCCATGCGGAAGGTTGCCGGTTCGAAACCAGCTCGGAGCGGGTTGGGTGGTGTAGAGCCGACGGGGTTACATTGACACTAAATTCTGACTCCTGAAATGTTGCAGCAAAAATCGAGACTCATCAGACCAGGCAACGTTTTTACAATCTTTCATTGTCCAGTTTTGGTGAGCCTGTGCGAATTGTAGCCTCAGTTTCCTGTTCTTAGCTAACAGAAGTGGCACCCCGTGTGATCTTCTGCTGCTGTAGTGCATCTGCCACAAGGTTGGACATGTTGTGTGTTCAGAGATGCTCTTCTGCATACCTACCTCGGTTGTAACGAGTGGTTATTTGAGTTACTGTTGCCTTTTTATCAGCTGGAACCAGTCTGATCATTCTCCTCTGAGCTCTGGCATCAAGGCATTTGTGCCCACAGAACTGTCGCTCACTAGATGTTTTCTCTTTTTCTGACCATTCTCTGTAAACCCTAGAGATGACTGTGCATAAAAATCCCAGTAGATAAGCAATTTCTGAAATACTGACACCAACAACCATGCCATGTTCAAAGTTCTTTAAATAATCATTCTTCTCTGTTCTGGTGCTCGATTTGAACTGCAGCAGACCATCTTGACCATGTCTACATGCCTAAATGCATTGAGTTGCTGCCATGTGATTGGCTGATTAGAAATTTGTGTTAACGAGCAGTTGAACAGTTGTACCTAATAAAGTGGCCGGTGAGTGTACATTGAGAATTTATACACACATTTATATATTTTATAAATATCTAGGGTAAGTAAGAGTTTGGATTTAAGTATTTTGTTGTAATCAATTGTATTTATCTTGTTATACATATATGTACTGTATTATTGATTTATTTAAATTCTTTAATATTTTGATTTAGAAAAAATGCTTTAAATTAACCTAAAACGACACTTAAAACTTTTATAAAACATTTAAAAAGAATTTTTTGGTCAAAAATCCACACAAATATTATGATCCAACTACTGTTTTCAACATTGATAATAATGATGATGATTAATATTATGACGATAACAGCAACAACAACAACAACAACACTTATTTATTATTATTTAGAATCAAATCAGACATCAAAGACTACAATACTGCCAATTATTTCCTAATTATAGCTTTGCCATCAGAAGAAAATTCTTCATTATAAGAGTATTTTGATTCACTAAATGTAGCCTTCATGGCCATGAGACACGTCTATTAAATTCATAAAATTATGCCAACCCTAAACTTTTGAGTGGCAAACATATATGGATTTATTCCTAACCCTGCAGCAGCACCCGCTAACTTTAAGTGACATATTGACAGTGATCATTGACTACTGGACGGCAGCAAAGGCTGCTGGGTACCACAAGTATTGAAGTGGCGGCTAAAAATAAACTGAACCAACAAGCTGGACAAATATACAATTATCTAATTATAGTCTACAATCAGACTGTCAGCTTAGTATCTATAGCAACTGGAAACTTCATTGGCCAAGCTAAGATTGTGTTTGAGTCCGATAAGATAGCACAGAGTGCAAACGTACAGTATAGGCATCAACCTATCTCACAGAATCAGAGCGTCACATTATTATCGACGGAATCAAATAATACTGGCCGCACAAATGCACTGATGAGAAAAATACTGACAGATAATCAGATCTGTGCTGCTAAAGCTCAGTCAGGGCTAAAAATATCTGATGGTTCAAGAAGCACAGCGTGAGAAAACAGAGATCTGGAGAGATTTTCATAAAATACACAGCAGTAGCATTTTGTCAGGTTAGGAATTTACAGATAACACTACAATATATACATATATTCATAATTAGATGCGAATGAAATCCAGCGCTTGTATAGCACTTACTGTAAAACAGTTTATTGTTATGATGGAATAACTGTTGTGTTTTCTTTAAATAATTTGACCATATTAACAAAAATGTTTTTTTGTTTTTAAAATCATTGAGAAATCATACTATATAAGACATATATGAGTTCTTTTATTCTCTAAAAAATCCCAAAGACAGCTCAAAGACATCTTCAAAGACAGCTTATTTTGAAGTCACTCTGACAAAATGACTCCGCTTCCACAGAACACTTGCTTAGCCCCGCCCAGCAATTCACACTGTAATATGTAAATACCAAAGAGGAAAATAGAGGTCTATAAAGAAACCAAACGAGAAAGACAATGATGAAGACAAGACACTGTGCAGTGACAGGTTGTTGAAAAACAGTCTTTAAAGTTTACATTGCCTTCTTTTTGATTGCAAAATTAGCAATGTGTGGACGAACTTTATTTTAAATAAATCTAAAATCCACCCTTCAGTGGCAGCATACCAAGGTAAAAAGGCATCAAGGCATGTCTGAATCGAATTTCTGCTTCACCTCCTGTCTCCAAAGATACCTTTTCCTAAACTTCAAAAGTCAGCATAGAAGTATGCTTCACTCCTTTTGATATATCAAAATCCTTGAGATAAAAAAAGATGGCATCTCGAAGCACCGCTTGGGTGTCAATTTGTGTGTAAATGTATGTTTTTGACCAACTTTTTCCACTTTTCATGCTATTTCTAGCAA